AATTAAGAATTTTTTTGTGCCATCGATTTTTTTAAATGCCTTGTGCTCTTGAACACGAAAAGAAAAAATCGGGATTTGATAAATTTTTCAACCCCAATGACATTTTAACGTATCCAAATTTTTAGAAAATGATTAGGCTATTTTGTCGTCCACTAAAAAAGATACCAAGTCTATTTTGTTGGTAAATATAAATAGTGTTTTAGAACTAAAAATATATATATATATATATATATATATATATATATAAATCAAGAGTTGATAAGTCCCGGTATTTTGATTCATTAAGAATTCATCCAGTGACAGGGATCTACAGGTATTTGGCGACTTTGTCATTGATAAAAAAAAATGTCATTTGTGATATGGATGAAGAACTTCCTCTGAAGATATTTTGTGGCACAAAACCCTTCTGCAATACCAACAGCATTTTTGGATGAAAATGTTTCAATCCAGAAGATCTGTAAATATTTTGATCCAGAGAGTTGGGAAACTGTACAACATCTTTATGGATATTTGAATCACCAGCTGCAGTGGTTGTGTGAGTTGTGTAGGCAGGACTTGAACAACATGGATTCTGTGATCTGTGATTGTTGTCTTCAGTGGGTGAACCTGAAATGTAAATGGCAAGAGAACCATGTCCAAGGGAAAGTTTGGGATTTTAAAAAAAGACTGTTATGCCTGAAGTGACAAAAAATATTCAGAGACTTCTATATTTATTTTTTAATAATTGATGATGAATAAATATTTTTAACTTGTGTTTTAACAATTGATGGCGGAAAAGATTTTAAATTGTCTTAACAGTTGATGGTGAAAATAAATATACTCCTGTGTTAAATCTGTGTGTTGTTATTTTTAATATTACCTGCCTTCATAATAATAATGATATTTACCGGCACAATTGCAGGGAGCGGTAAAATGAGCTTAAACGCATGTTTATCTATTTTACCGGGACCGGTAAAATAAGCTTAAACGCATGTTAATCTATTTTTACCGGGACTGATAAAATAAGCTTAAACGCATGTTAATCTATTTTACCGGGATCGGTAAAATATGCTTAAACTCATGTTTATCTATTTTACCGGGATCGGTAAAATATGCTTAAACGCATGTTTATCTATTTTACCGGGATCGGTAAAATAAGCTTAAAAGCATGTTTGTTTATTTTACCGGGACCGGTAAAATAAGCTTAAAAGCATGTTTGTCTATTTTACCGGGACCGGTAAAATAAGCTTAAAAGCAGGTTTGTCTATTTTACCGGGACCGGTAAAATTGCCTCTTCATATTTTGTTTTGTCTTCCACAGGATGATTAGTTTACAATGAATTTATTGAGCAAACTAAGCCCCCTATTAACTTTTATATATTTTAATTTTAAAAAATTGATATTTCTGATGTGGAGTCATCTACAGTAATATGAAAATAAATTTAAAGAAACTGGTTATCTCCGGTCGCTGAGCGTATTATACAATCCCAAACTTAGGCTAAAACAGACGCGACTCACAGGTCGTGAAAAAAACAAGGACTTTCTTTCTTCCCCAGATTTTGCTGTATTTTTCGAGTACTGCAAACGAGACAGGATCTTAAAGATCTATTATTTTTACCCAAAACATAATATATATATATATATATATATATATATATATATATATATATATATATATATATATATATATATTAAGCCAATAAATATACAAGCAACTTAAAACAATTTCATTTAATTATATGCATTATTTTCATTTCATTTTACGTATGATATTTATGGCCTGCATGTGATTTTAGTCCTAATTATGTTAAGATATGTCAAAGAGAATGTGCTGTTATGTTGTTACTTTGCTATTGCATTAGCTTAGGTGAGTGACGTAAGGGTTTACAGAAAATCGCGTTATGATGTATCGTAGGAACGGAACTTTGTCGTAAGTCGAGGACCAACCCCGTACATTAAATTCTAAAAGTTTTCTATGAGTTTTATATACGGAAAAAAATGTACCAGAATGCAAGTACAAATAAAACGCAAGAAAAAAGTGTTTATTTCAAATCAAAACGATGTCCATAATAGAATAACAGATCTGAAAAAAAAATGTTCATTTGAAGGTCTGGGGAGTAAGGCGGGTGGTACAGTGTTTCCCAGCCAAGACGCCGTATGGTATCCCTGGAAACTCGCAATACAGTACCGTTGTGGATTCCGAGATGAATTCGGTCTCCAATGAAGAACAAACGTAATATTTAAATACAAGAAATAAAATATATTTACACAATGATACAAAGGGTAATACTATTAGTAAATCCAGGAACACGGTTAGTAGCAAATACAGATAGATATATACAGTCTCGAAGTAGGACTTCCTTAGAGTCTACGTGCTTGTAACTGACTTCTACAAGAGGTTACCTCACACTATCTCCGTTCGTACATTCTCTCTCTCTCTCTTTCCGACTACCCTCTCACTATCCGACTACTCTCTGACTAACTCTGGGTATTTAACGGCAGCAGTCCAGGTACACTGGTAGAGTCCACTTATATGAAAAAGGGGTGGACCCCATAACAAGTACACCCTTGCGATTAACCAATGCTGGCTCCTTCTGCTTCAGTGCCTGCTGCACACGTTTCAATTCGTGCGAGTACAAGTCCGCAGTGATAGTTTGGCCGGTTGGCAGCAGCTCATAGTGCGCCACTTGTCGACTAGTCACCAGATACAAAGCATGATTTCGCGTGGGTATAGAGATGGTCTTGTGGTGTGGAGCACAGGGTCCCGTAGTGACAACCAATGTCAGAGCCCGCTTTTCGTCACTGATGAACACTCGATCAAATATGAGCACATTGCGGGGCCGGGAAGCCGATGAGAAACAGACTGTCGCTGGTTACTGCTTTTTGGCTTCCGACATCGTGGGTGGTGACCACATGCTCAAATTGTACGCCTTTCCCTATGCGGTTGCAGGTGAAGTCTGACTCTTTCATCAGAAACCTGGAAGCGTTCGGCTGTTGTCCTCCTGTATGGCCGGCTTCAGGGTCTCGTCATCCAGGACCTGTGGTCAGCCAGTGCGGGATTCATCACAAATGGAAAGATCCCTCGACCTGAAATTCTCGAACCAATGCCATGCAGTGCGTTTACTTACAGCATTATGCCCAAAGGCTTGACGTGTTCAGCGACTTGATGCGGCTGCGGACCGGTCCACCTTACAGTCATAAAGTAGACAACCCCGAACGAGCTGCTTCGACACCGCCGTGTTTTCTCGACTTTGATCAAGCTATGGCTGATCTGTGTGCAGTGCACCTGCATTGGTCAAGAGCAATGCAGCCACCCCAACAAAACGATCACTTCTTCCCACACACGTAGAAAACGGAAGTTTTGGTGGGGGGTAATCTTATATGTCCTCTAATCTCTACTATTAAGTGTACGAACGAGCGATCGTGTATGCGCGCGTGTGTGTTTGTCCGTGTGAGAAAGAGAGTGTGCGGAAACGTTCGACGGGTAGGGAAGCTTATGTATGTGTGCGTCTGTCAGTGTGTGTGCATGTGTGTATGTCTGTGCGTGTACTATTTGAGATCAGTAAAATTCGAAATTGCATATTGACCGTCTTCATTCTTTCTCAATATGACTCTTTGAAAATTTCTAAAAATAAAAATCTGTGCGTGTTTATATATATATATATATATATATATATATAGAGAGAGAGAGAGAGAGAGAGAGAGAGAGAGAGAGAGAGATAGTCATGCGCATACAGGCCTATTTCGCTGTATCACAGCTCATCAGTGCGACTAAACAACCGAACGCTGCTATCGAAACCTAACCGATTTGTTGGATATATATATATATATATATATATATATATTGCTTTATTTTAATAAAATAATATAATATATATATATATACATTTCTTTATTTTAATAAAATAATATATATATAGCTTTATTTTAATAAAATAAAATAATATTTATATATATTGCTTTATTTTAATAAAATAATATAATATATATATATATATACATTTCTTTATTTTAATAAATATATATATATAGCTTTATTTTAATAAAATAAAATAATATATATATAATTGCTTTAATAAAATAACACAATATATATATATTTTTTTATTTTAATAAAATAAAAAGATATTTATATATATATATATAACTTTATTTTACTAAAATAAAATTATATATATATATATGTGTGTGTGTGTTGCTTTATTTTAATAAAAAGCTATGTCAATAACAGTCAATTATTTATATTTTTACGATAATTATTTACTTTCGCCACCCTTTCTCTTTTTTAACGATCTAATTCCCGAATTGATTTCACCGAAATAAAATTATATTTCCTCGAACATGTCCAGTTCATTTCATTTTGTATTATTTCTTCGATGTGACTTCCTTATCGCCGACATTTTTTTTATCCACGGCCATCTTAATTCTGAAGCAACCTCTCACTGCGCATGTCATGTAATACAGTCCGAATGTCAAACTCCCTGGATAATTCTTTCATAACGAAATGATATTTCTTTGAAAAAGAAGAAAACTATATCGGTCGAATATTTTGGGTGATATTTAACATAAAATGACGACATAAAAACGGTTATCTTTTAATTGATATTGAGAAAAACCAATCCTTCATTAATATTTTATTTATTTATTGTTTAGAAAGATTATTGAATTTCCAGTTAACAACTTTTATGTTGATTTTCTCCAGATACTTTTTTACTTATTGTCAAGATAAAATAAACAGAAACAAACATTTAAAAAGGCAAATAACACAATCTAGAAAAGACACGTTAAAAAATAAAACTTTTCAAATAATAAAACGTATCCAAATATTACATTTGGTGGCATTATGAATAGGAAGCCGATCACCCCAAAATGAGGAATCCAGTTAGAGTGGCAGCAATAATAAGATATTTTATAGCGTAAGTACTTGCTTATGGAAAAAGAAAAGAAACATTTTATGTGTTAATCTCTTTATTCTAGAAGTCGATGAAAATTTATTGACGTAAAAAGATAACCAAACGATACATTTCAAAAGGCATAGATAGATAGATAGATAGATAGATAGATAGATAGATAGATAGATAGATAATGAACAGACGATCATAGATAGATAGATAGATAGATAGATAGATAGATAGATAGATAGATAATGAACTGAATGATATATATATAAAAGTTAGATAATGAACAGAAAAGATAGATAGAGAAAGACAGACAGACAGACAGTGAACTGAATGAGATACATATAAAGATAGATAGATAGATAGATAGATAGATAGATAGATAGATAGATAATGAGCTGAATGAAATGCATATAAAAGATAGATAATGAACAGAAAAGATAGAGAGAGAGAAAGAGAGAGAGATAGTGAAATGAATGAGATACATATAAAAGATAGATAATGAACACAAAAGATAGATAGATAGATAGATAGATAGATAGATAGATAGTACAGGTGATGAATCGTAAATGGTGTAATGTAAAAGAAGATGGAACTCCATCAACGCCGTAAGAGAAGCGACTGAAAAATTACCCGAGACTGCAAGATCAGGCCGTGTTAATTTTACTGACAAAAGGGCCTTCAGTTGATGTCTGACCATCTCGTGTAATCGTAGGTGATTTATTAGGATGGACAACGTGCTGACTTCAGTGCGCCTTCAACAAGATGGCCGGCTCTGTGAGTGTGAGGCGTGTAATGGGGTCAAGTGGCATTACTCGTAAGCGCTAACTAAAAAGGAACAATGAAGAGAAGTAAGGTGGAACTGACAGCCATTAGTTGAAAAGCTCAAATACTGATTCGAGCCGAATGAAATGGTGTGTGTCATCAGGATGGCGTTAAGAGGATTAGCAAGCTGCACCTATGAAGCTGGATGGGAGCGTATGCAAGGATAGATCGAAGTGTACGTAACAATATCTACAGATTAGAAGTTATCCACAAGCTTCGATAAGAGACAGTTTGACCGCAGACAGAAGTTTACACCCCGGAGAACGGCTGCCACCATTTTCTCGTCTTCTCTTTCAATTTCTTTTCTCGGATTCATTTTATTTAATTTTTTTTCTTCTTTCTATTTTTTTATGCTTTTACTTTCTTCTATCTATCTATCTATCTATCTATCTATCTATCTATCTATCCCAGACTGTGTGCATGTCTGTCTCAGTCTGTTCATATCTATATATTCAAGTTCGTTTATATCTATCCGTACGTCTGCTTCAGTATGTTCCTTTCTATCTATCTATCTATCTATCTATCTATCTATCTATCTATCTATCTATCTCATACTGTACATAATTATCTATTTATTTAATTCAATCTGTTCATATCTATCTATTTAACTCAATTTATTCATATGTATCTGTCTGTCTCAGTCTGTTCATTATCTCTCTATCTCATTCTTTCCATATCTATCTATCGATCGATCGATCGATCTTAGTCTGTTCATTAACTAACTAGCTAACTCAATTCATATTTATCTGTCTGTTTGTCTCAGTCTGTTCGTTATCTGTCTGTTTATCTATCTCTGCACATATCTGTCTGTCTGTGTATCTATCTAGCCGTTTCTGTCCATATATATCTATTTATCTATATATCTGATTCTGTACATTATCTGCCTATCTATCTCATTGACCCAGTCTATCTATCTATCTATCTATCTATCTATCTATCTATCTATCTATCTATCTATCTATCTTTGGCTTCTCATTATCTATCTATCTATCTATCTATTTTATAAAATAATTCTTAATTGAAAATAATTATTCTTAAAACTCAAAATATGTTTCGACTTTAAACTACCCTAAAAACGGTTGATAAACCGGAAACAAAGCAAATCAATCAATCTAATAAAACGCAGACGGAAACTATCTTCAATTCAAATTGTTTGAATATATTATTTTATCCTATCAACGCAGATAAACGGTTTACTAATGTGTTATATTCTTAAAATTAAGCTTAGTGAATACTTTTTAAGTGACTCGGGTATCTTCAACGGCAGCGACATTTAACGAAAATAGTTTTTCACGAGGCATCCTAAGCTTATGTTATTGTGTTATATTATGTAAGGAATAGACATTGCGCGCAATTCACGCCAGATATCAAAGAAGTCGTGTGCATCAATGGATTGTTCTGTGGTTATTTTCGGCTGCCGAATGTGAAAGTACTTGCATCAAGTTACAGAAATGGGTACGATCTTGTAATACATGCGCTTATATATATATATATATATATATATATATATATATATATATATATATATATATATGTGTGTGTGTGTGTGTGTGTGTGTGTGTGTGTGTGTGTGTGTGTGTGGTGGGGCGGTCTAGGTACATTGCCCGAAATCAATTGCTCGAAAAATAATTTCTCGAACTATCAATTGCTCGAAAGGCAGATTACTCGAAGTAATTTCGAAGCTCGAAGCACCCCTTAAGCTGCGCCGTCTGACTACGACGTCAACGGAGCTGGATATAAAAGCAGCCACAATACTCAACTTTATCAGTCCTGAGTTTTTTTTTCTAAATTTGTTTTCTATTTCTATTTCAGGAATTTTGGAGATCTGGAACCTTAGTGATGGACATAACTTTTGTTGAGAGCGACAAAGAAAAGAAGTTGTGTTTGGATGGATATCTATATATCAAGGACAAAATAATGAACTATAAGATTTACTCGAAATGTGAAACGTGCAAAAAAAAAGAAAATGCTTAGCAAATGTTTTATGTTTTTTTTTTTAACCACAGGTTTCGAGCAAAACTGCATTTCGTGAAAAAAAATTAAGACCTGCTATATAAATGTAATCATTCTTTAATTTTAACTGTTCAGTTAACAACAATAAAGTTGTATTATTTTATCTTATAGTAAATATTAGAAACAATGTAGTTTTATTTTTTTTAACCACAGGTTTCGTGCAAACTGCCTATCGAGCAATTGATAGTTCGAGAAATTATTTTTCGAATAATTGATTTCGAGCAATTTACCGGATACCGTGTTTGTGTGTGTTTGTATCAGTTTACCCTAAGCAAGGCGATGACGCCACTAAAACGCAATAGGCTACTGGAAGCGAAAGAGACAGAAAATTTTTTTAGAAGGAACCTGAAATCCAATCCAAAACCGGAAACAAAAATACGGATATCCACAAAAAAAAAACGTCTTCGGTATATATATATATATATATATATATATATATATATATATATATATCGGATTAAAAATAAAAAAAATCCATTGATTCTTTAGAAATAAAGAACTGTCCCAAGCAGTCGCAGGACAGTCTCTCAGATTTTATAGACAGAGAATGTAAGGATGCCATTCGGTTGAGAACTCTGCGAGGGACAGATAGAATATACTGGCGGTGAGTAACTGGTCGAATATTAGAATGGATAAAATGTTAAGTTCCGACGTTTCAAATATTTGGGTTAGCATTTAATCGGTAATCCTAATCCATCTCATTACATTTCTTTTAGACTAAGCAAAAAAAAAAAAAAAAAAAAAAAAAAAAAACCTCAGACTGAATAAATATTGCGTGGTATAAGCAGAGTGACTCATGTGTTTTCTGAACAGAAGTAAAAGAAGCTCAAAAAAAGGCAAAGACTTAACAAAGGCTGAACAAGTCAAGAGACGCTAAGACCTAAATTCGAAATCATAAACATAAGAGAATCGATTCTGAGGATAAGTAGTCTATGAAGACGCGATTCGGGTATCGATCTTTGATAATAACCGTGATGACAAGGATATTTTACAAGAATATCAAGCAACGGGCGTGCTTGTCGCGTAATAGATATCGGCTCCGAAACTTAAATCCGGTCGATTCGGTTACATTCACCAGACGATAATACTCTTGGAAAAATGCGATAAATCCACATTCTTCCATCTACGCTCATCAGGCGAGACTCTTTTGCCTTGAGATTGTAATCAACATATGAGAAGGAAAACTCTAAATTCAAAACCAGTCTGAAAAGGGATGGGTTCCGTCAGGTTACCTTTCCCTACAATCACCACTGATGCTACGGCTGCAGTTCACGTGGTACTCTAACTACTCTCATGGGTTACAGGACACGCGACGCCCAAGCAATGCACACAATGATTTAGTAGTTAATTAGTAAGTGTTATATAAGAATTTGATAAACAAACAAGAAATTATAATGTGGATATAAAGTGGGGGGGTTAATTCTATATCATAATCAATATATAAACTGAAATCTCAATACATTTCTTTTAGACTAAACAGAGTTTGGAAAAAAACTTGTTCCCAAGGTATTAGCGTCTGATGAATGAATTGACTGGATTTAAATTTCGTCGCCGATAACTATTACGCTACAAGCACACCCGTGGCTTAATATTCTTCTAAAATATCCACTTGTCATCACGAGTCACTTATCTGTACAGATAATAACGCAAGAGGGAATATAGCCATATTTATATTTTGAAGGGAGCCAATTTTACAAGTTTAGACAAAATTGGTTGCGGATGAAGATGAAACATCAAATGACTTGAAATCAGTTTTTTTTTCTAGGATAGTACTCCAATAATTTCGTAATAATCGTAATAATAATGTAAATTTTCGAAGATAATACTCCAAACGTAATAACTTTGGTTGTCTCGACTTCCGACAGAATGAGGTCATCGCTAAAAACTCAATAGAAAATTCTTTTTATGATGCACGACTTCATGTAGTCATTATTAAACCTTTCAAAGTAGCAAATGAAATTACTAAGACCGAAGAATACATCGGCTGAAAATTTGAATAAAAAACAATAATGATAAAGATTGAATAAATATTGCGTGGTACAAGCAGAGTGACTCGTGTGCTTTCTAAACAGAAGTAATAGAAGGCCAAGAAAGGCAAAGACTCGACAAAAGCTGAACAAGTCAAGAGACCTAAAGTCGAACACACAACATAAGAGAATCGATACTAAGGATGAGTAGTCTATGAAGACGCGATTCAGGTATCGATCTTTTGTAATAATTGTTTCGGGGATGCTTATATCTTAAAAGCTGTCAGCTGTCTTCCTTGCTAATATGAATCGATCAGAGATCAATATCTCAAGCTAAGAAATAATAGGCTGGATTTTTAAAAAATCATTTACGTCTTCTGGTGAATCTCAAAATTTCTATAATATTGATACACTGCCACATATTTTTGCATCTACTTCCTTCGACTAGGTTACATTTAATATAAAATTTCAGCCGATGTATTCTTCGACCTTCTGAATATTGTTCCAAGCTCTGAAAGTAAGTATTTGGCATTATTCAAAATATTTTAGGGGTTTTGCGTTTATCGTTATCGTTTTTAATTCAAATTTTCAGCCGATGTATTCTTCTACCTTCTGAATATTTTTCAAAGCTCTGAAAGTGTTTTCATTATTCCAAATATTTTCGGGGTTTTGCTTTTATCATTATCTTTTGTAACACAGTATTTCAGCCGATATATTCTTCAGCCTTAGTAATTTCTGTAGATACTTTAAAAGGTTTAGGAAAGACCACTTGAAGTAAAGCATCATGAAAACGACTTTCTATAGATTTTTAATCGATGATCTCAATACAACCAGAGTTATTACGCTTGGAGTAATAACTTCGAAAAATTACATCATTATTACAACTGTTACGATTATTGGAGTATTATCTTAGAAAAAAACTGATTTCAACTCATTTGATGTTTCATCTTCATCCGCAACCAGTTTTCCCTAAACTTCTAAAGGTCGTAAGCAAGGTCGATTTCATTGTTTTTAAACTAAAATTCCCCATAAAATGAATCCAAGTACAAGGCTTTCCCATTACAAGAA